TATTCAGTTTTAGTTCTGCTTAAACGAAGGTCTTTAGACTCCAATGTTGACCTCCACAATTCAATTTTTTCCTGGGTTTTTTCTCTCGTTTTATCCACGAGAAGAATATCATCAGCAAAAAGCATACACCAAGGTACATCCTCTTGTAGATTTCCAGTAAGACCATCCATAGCTAAAGCAAAAAGATATGGGCTTAAAGTCGATCCCTGATTTAAAACAAAAAGAATAGGAAAATATTTTGTCAATCCTCCTTCAGTTTGAACACAAGTAACAGCTCTAGTATACATATCTTTAATGACTTGAATATAAGTCATATCAACACATTTCTTCTCGAGAACTCTCCAAAGGATATCTCTTGGAACCTTATCGTAAGCTTTTTCTAAATCAATAAAAATCAAATGTAGATTCTCCTTATTATCTCTGAACTTCTCCATCAAACCTCTCAATAAATGTATAGCTTCCATAGTAGACCTGCCCGGCATAAATCCAAATTGATTATGAGAAATTTTTGTGATGCGTCTTAACCTATGTTCAATTACCCTCTCCCATAATCAACCTATGTTCAATGATTGATTTTAGTAGTTCTTTTAAAATATTTTCTTCTAAATAAATCATGTGTAACAGTCCGCAGTTATATAATCCTATAATAAGTCTTACATCTGCATTTCCATATATATATATATGACTTAAAACTTTCCAGCCGAATGAAAATAAAGCTGTGAATTAATTCGTTCATTATATTATGATGTTTGTTGTCATTCATCGGCTATTTCTTTTATATTCTTTGAAGACTTATTTGACGTATTTTGTAATACCTTCGCATATGAATGTACATTATTAATATTTGGAGAGGCAGGTGTTTCTTTTTCCTTCATAAGTTTGAGATTCCTGAAATCTCGTATTTTTTGTAATTCTATTATAGAAGGTAAATCTTCTTTATGGATTTCTCTATTAAGATAAATTTTTTTTAGTAATTCTATTAGAATGTTATTGTTGTAGACAATTTCACATTCTTATTTTCATATCTGTATTTCAAGTATTTCCAAATAATTGTTCAAGTCTGGCATAAACTTGTCGGCTTCAACAGTTATATCATATATCTTCATATTTTCGGTATTTGAAGTCATACTTATTTACTGCATAAATCATGTATCAGTGTCAACAAGAGCATTTTTCATTCCATCAATATATTCTATATCAAACGTGCATGCAGAAAAACAACTTTATCATCGTATTAGTCTTTTATTAAGTATAGAGTCTATAACTTTTTCTTTAATAAATGAAATTGTTGTTTTACTATTTGTCCTATTCAAGAACATTTCTTTTAAGAAAATTTCTAATTTTTTTAATTATTTTTTTAATTGCTAGTGACTCTTTTTCATTAATATGATATTTTTGTTATGTCATTGAATACGTACCTGAAGTGTATCTACATAAGAGTTCGGTCACCTTCCGTCGAGCTTTTAAAATTGCTCCCCAAGCTAATTTAGAACTATTAGTTTCTATAATTAAATAATCACCATGTATATGTAAATATAGTTTTAAAAGATTTCTAAAATAATATTTAATTTGTTACAAATTTTTTTGATCGTTTTCATCCCAAGACCAGACTATATTTTTGTGTAATTTATTTTGTAATGGAGCTCTTAAATATGCAAGATTTTTAATAAATCCTTCAACATAATTAATACAACTTAAAAAATGTTGTAAATCTTTCTGATTAGTAATCGGTTTAAAATAATCAACTTTTGTTAAAGTATGATCTTGTAATTCAATTGCGTCATTATCTATAGTAAGTCCTAAAAATTCAATAATATTAGTGAGAAAAATAATTTTCTTTTTACTTAGAGCAATACCATGCTTTTGTACTTTCTGAGAGAATAAAGTTAAATGTTTTAAGTGTTGCGCAATAGTCTAACAGAATATTAAAATGTCATCTACATAGAAAAGGCAGAATTGGGATAACTCAGCAAAAATAAGATCCAAACATCGTTGGAATATTTGTGGTGCGTTTTTTAAACCGAAAGGCATAACTTCCATTGGTAGTGACCCTGAGAAGTACTAAAAGCTATAAATTCTCTATTGTTTGGGTGCATTATAATTTTCCAGAAACCATATTTACAATCTAATTTAGAAAACCATTTGATAGTTTTGATATGATTTATTAATACTTCTTTATTTAGTAAGAAATAACCATCAAATTTTGTATTATCATTAAGTTTTTTATAATTGATAACCATACGTGTGTTTCCTCTAACCAATTCGGTATGATTTCGAACTAGAAAAACAGGATTACTATGTGGACTAGTACTTGTTTCAATTAATTTGAGGTTCAATAATTCATGAATCTGAATCTGAAATTCTTTTTTAGCTTTAGTGGAGTACTTCATAGGGCGTACCCTAATAATAAGAGAAAGATTAATTGGTTCAATGCTATAGGTTCATCTTGAATCCAAAACTGTAAAAGATTTTCAGAAAAGGAAGGTATAGACAAAGAGGACGCAAAAGCGCATAGTTTTGTAAATTTAGAAAGTTCTGGAGAAAATGATGTATATGTATGTAAGTGAAGACTGAATATATGAGGAAAAGTGGTTTTGATTAAATGATCAATAGTAGAATCACTACGTTGGTTGCAAAAGATTGAGGCGGAAGAATGAAAGGTAGGCGTGCGGATTAAGGAACAAAGAAGTAGGTTATGTTTAGGTGTAACCAAGTTGATGGATATCGAGGATTGGGTAAATGAGAGGAAGGTTTTGAAGAAGTTATTCCTAAGATTAAATCGGGGTCATCATCGGATAGACACTATAATTTAGGCATTTTAATAATAGCAGATTGAATAATCATTAATTGATTGAACCAATATTCATTTATAGTGCGAAGACCATTAAAGGTTTCAAGCAGTAAAGATTGGGTTTGTAATGGGATATGATCTGAAATTCATATAAGAATAAATAAAAATAATATAACTGTGAATTGTAGCCATAGATTAAATGATCAAGAGTAGAATCACCTCCACCTGAAAATTTTTAAAGCCGACATAGGTAGAGCTACAATAATTCTACCTCAACCTGAAAAAGTTCTTGAAAAACTCAAATTAAGTCCTCAAACAAAATAATAACCAGGACAAAATCATATAAAATAAAAAAATTAAACCTTACATATTTATAAAATTGAAATCAACATTCTTTTTTTTAAACTACCAAATATGTATATTTATATGTGCCACAATTAATCTTTGGGGTTAACTCGTGCACTACTGCAATTCAGCTTTAACTTTATCATAGCGTTGCCTACTCCAGAACTAGGATTTAATTTTGGTAGCCATGAGCCAAGGCATTATACTCCTAAATTTTTCCAGATTAGTTTAGGGAAAGCTCTGATAATCTAAAAAAAGCTTCCTTAAGTTGTTGCGAACCCAGGACAAAGCTTTAAACATTAAATAATAGGACTAGGATTCCATTCTACCTGTCCAAAGTAAAGGCTTCATGATGCCAAAATCATAAGAGCAGATCTAAACTCCCACTCTTAACGATAATTTCATAAGCTTTCTTCTAGAGATATTGCTTAGAGATCTGCTAATGAGTAGAAAGCTTTAAACCTTACTCAGTCCGGCTTACTGTCTCCTACATAGATAGGTAGGATTAACCCTAACTATTATCATAGAGCTATAGCTCCAGGTTGGCAAAATTTCTAAGCTTATGAAGGCCTTCTTTACAAATTATAAATCAGCACACCGCTTCAGCATCTAGTTTTTAGAAGGTTTTATTTCAGAAGATAAGCACATGATTGCCAACAAGAATGTCTTCACAACATGGTTATGGCCCCCAAATAAAAAATAAACTATAACCCATTAAACCCTAAATATCCACAAGGGCTTGATAAATTTAACCAAACCTTCCCCAAACAAGCTCCCGAATCTTTAAAGTTAGCATGTCTTCTGAATGTTTGAGTCAAACAGACCCTTGACCAAGAGCACTCTCCAAGAAGAGGGATAATTAAGTTTGACACATTGCACTCATAGAAGTCCTCAAACTCATTTCTAAATAAACCCTTACCAAACATCAAAGAAAATATGGTTAGATTTTTACCTAAATTATATCAGAGAAAAGAAAAACAATTGATCTCGCATATGAGAGCACGCGACCTTCATTTGTCTCTTTCAAAGCAAGCCTTAGTCCATAAAAAGGCATCCTAAGTCTGGCTTACAAGAGAGGAGTGCAAAATTATTCTTCAATAAAAGTTTCACACATGCCCCAAGACCTTACAATACTGACATCACAACATTTCTAATACCCAAAGCAATCGCATTACATGTACTATTCTAAACCCTAAAGCTAATTTTAAGTTGAAGATATACTAGGATGCCATTTGGTGCGAGAGAAAAGAGGAAAAATGAGAAAAAAATTATCCGCACAGCTAGAAGTTATGAACAAAAGAAGTCATAAATAAGAAATTGGTTTAATTACTTTTACTTATCTCCAGAATCATCATTGAGCTCGAAATAATAATTGATACAGCAAGCCCAACAACAATAGTAGCTTCTAATGTTCCCCATAACTTTATCCATATAAATAAATTTTTTTTTTAGAAGAAGTCCTCCAGGATTAAAAAAAAATTATTTAATTGCTTTACAAAATTTCACAAGGAACATTGACTCAAAATAACACTTCAAAAGCAAGACCAACAGCAATAATAGCTTCTACAGTTTCCCATAACTTGTCCCAATGAATAAAAAAACCAAAAATGAATAAATAGAGTCAGATGCAGGGTGCGGAGAGAAAAAAATAGAAACTTACCTGCTCATCATGAGAAAATTTAAAAGAAGATCCATGATTACCCTGGCCCCTTTGAAAAGCATGGCACACTTCACGTTCCTCTCTCTTCTCCATCTCTTTTTCTTCATCTTCTTCCTCTTTTCTCTTATAACTTGTAACATGATCAACCCTTATTATTCGACCAAGAATCATAGCACCATTCAAGTTATCTACATAAGATGAAGAAATACCAAAAAAAAAAAAAAAGATAATTCTTTAGTGAAAGTACTGTTTCCAATGCACCAATAGAGAATATGGAGAAACAACAAATTCAAGCTGACCAACCAACAGCTAGGACCGTGCTCCTTTGATCTTCATATGCAAGGAAGGCAAAGCCCTTAGATTTTCCTGAGGTTTTATCCCTGACAAGATTGACATCCACAACTTCTCCATACCTAGGAATCAATGTAAATACCAAAATAAATCAATTATGACATGGTTTTAAGGGGAAAAAAATGGAAAAGTGAACAATAATAAATGTAACAAGAAAACCACATTTTAGTTAACTGTTACAGAATAATTCATCATACCACTAGCAAAACAACCACTAATGAATCACACTGAAAATTAAAACGTACGCATTGATCAGCTGATATTCTTAAAAAGACATTGAACAACAAATAAGTCAAAGTAATATAAGAAACCAAAGCATATTTCTCGAAACAAAGATCTTCTCAAGCTTTAATAAATAGCTTGTCCAGAGTATGTTACATCCACAGAAGGGATCAACAAATGACAATCTTGAAAGTGTAGTATGCGGTTTATTTCCTACAAACTTTCAAAACCATGAGTTTTGAAATCAGGATTTAAATGATGAAAAGCACTTGATAAGTGTCTATCCCAATTTTGGGTACTGACTAAGGACTCATTTGATTGGGTTTCCAACCTACTGTGTGGTAGGATAAATTGCTGCAAGGTCGATGAGTACTCTTTGGGCTGTTTGATAGATTTACTATATCCAGCCAAATAGCAAAACACAGTTCCATGGATTTAGCAATTTTCAGATTTAGTAAACTCAATTTTGCCTTCAATTCAGCTTAAATCAGGACTTATCTAAATGCAAGGGATGGATGGATTTATGGACTTAGGGTTTTACTAAATCCAGCTTGCAGACAAAAAGCCCCTTTGGGCTTGAAAAGCTGCATGAATTTTCCTATAACTCAGCTGAAACACAACACAATAGAAATTGTGGACAGCAAAGTAGCTACTTTTCTAACTAACTTTACTGATAAACCAACAACAAACCAAACAAATGAAACCAAAAAGCAAAAAAGATTTAAAGTTACAATACTACTGACTATAACTAAAAGTCCAAACTAATGATGTATTTTCCAAAACATGTAGCATCTTGATTTGTTTTCTTTTTTTGAAATCATAATTTGCCACACATTTACCTAAATAGACCAGCCGCCAAATCTCCAAAGCCTTTCATAATTCATTTCCAGAGACCTCAAGTAACAGGATCTATTTACATATCATCTAAAAATGCATGCTCCTGAAATTTAAATCTTCAACCATACAGTAAAAAAATAAAAAATTTAAAAAAAATTTAAAAAAAAAAATTGAACCATACATTACAATTTTTTTCATAAATTTTAGCATGAATTTCAAAATGCGCTTTATTTGATGAAATAAAACAACAAAAAATAATTGCTACGAGAACATCACATTTTGATCAGGCATTGTTCAGCATGCACCCACCTTCCATTTCCTACTAGCATCTAATAAAAGGACAGTTTTCACTAGGTGTAGAGTAAAATCAAGTGTCCATGGACTTCCCCACAACAATACAACCATTTCCATGGAAGTTCACAACTGATAGCAAAGTGCTAGTGATCAAGTCTCAGAATCCTCAAACAAATGAAAATAATCAATCAAACGCCTTGAATTATGGAAATAGAAGCGAAGCACATTGTTAGTATTCTCTTATTAACAAATAGATGAATTCAGGATAGATGAAATATTTGTAAAGTTGGCCAGTTCGATAAAAAATGTCCTTACTGATAAATGATTACAATGTAATGGACTCAATAGAAATTGATCAAATCTTTTTCAATTTGTTAAGATGGAGATTTTTCTTCAATAACAAAATTAAATTACATACTGACAAAAAGATTTGTAAAGTTGACCAGCTTGATAACAAATGTCGTTATCTGATAAATGATTACAACAAGACGGACTGAATAGATTTTCATCAATCTTTTTTATCTTGTTAAAGTAGAGATTTTTCTACATCAACAAAATTAAATGTCTTCCTGAGAAGTTTTGTTATAAAAATTGATTGATATGTAAAGTTTATAAAATTGGAAAAAATATAAGGTGGCTCGTATGAGGTCTAAGAGAACTATTTGTGATGCTAAAAATTGAGTTTGTAGTGATATTTATAATAGATTGTATATTAAAGAGAATGATATATATATATATATATATATATATATATATATATATATATAAAAACTAGTCAAACAATGATAAAAGAAAAGTAAAGATTTATTCAAGTAACGTGTATTAAAGATGAAAAACAAAAAATATTTTCCTTAGATGAAAATATTCGACATAGGCGGGTGAAAATTTTAATAAATATTTTAATGAAGTTTTTGAATATACGATTAAATTTAGTGATCTACTAATCTTTATATCGTTAATAATAATAATAATTTTTATTTTTACTATCGCATTAGTAAAAAAGGAAGTTTAGGAGGCTTTAGAGAAAATCAATTGTGGAAAATCAATAGAACCTGATGGTATCCCAAAAGAAGTATGAAAGTATTTAGGAGATTTGGGAATTTCTTACCTTACTAAACTTTTAATTTTATTTTAAAAACTAAATAGATGCCTGAGGAGTGGAGGAAGATTGTTATGGTCCCCATTTCTAAGAATAAAGGCAATGCATAAGAGTGCAAATTATAGAAGAATTAAATTGATGTGTCATGCATTAAAATTATAAGAGAGAATAATGGAAAATAGGTTAAGACGTGATATAAAGATTTCTCATAATCATTTTAGATTTATGGAAGCTAAACATTTATTGAGAGAATTGATGAATAAGCATAGAGAAAGTAAGAAGAATCTACATATGACTTTTATTGATTTAGAAAAGCTTACGATAATGTTTTAAGAGAAGTTCTTTGAAGAGTTCTAAAAATGAAAGGTGTTGATATGACTCATAGTCAAGTCATTAAAGATATGTATATTAGATTTGTTACATATGTTCGAACAGAAGAAGGATTGACCAAGTATATTCCTACTTCAGTTGGATTACGTCAGGGACAGACTTTAAGCTCGTATCTTTTGGCTTTAGTTATGGATGCTCTTACTAGACATTTACAAGAGGACGTAACTTGGTGTATGTTTCTCGCTAATGATATCCTTCTTGTGGATAAGGCTAGAGAAAGAGTTCAGAAAACAAATTGAACTATGGAGGTCTACTTTAGAGTCTAAAGACCTTCATTTGAGTAGATATAAAATTGAATACATGGAATTTAATCTTAATAGTAGTAGATATAGTAACAGAATTGTACCAATAGGTGATCAAATCATTATAAGGAGTGAATGTTTTATATATCTCTGGTCTATTTTACAAAGTGATGGTAATATGGATGGGAATGTTACTAGTAAAATTCAAGTTGAATGGTTGAAATGGAGGAATGCCTCGAGACTACCGTGTCATAGAAAAGTATCGCTTAGACTTAAAAAGAAAATTTTATAAGATGCTGGTGAGACCTACAATGCTTTAAGGAAATGAATGAAGACCTATAAAAAAGAAGCATAAAACTAAGTTAAGTGTTGTTGAGATGAGAATGCGTGGGTGTATGGGTGGCTTTACACTCAAAGATAAAATGCGAAACAAATATATCTGTGGTTGGTGTACCTCCAGTAGTGGACAAGTTTAAAGAGTCGTCTTAGATGCTTTAGTCACATTAAATGTCGATCATTTGATGATATGATTAGGAGAGTCGATATTTTGGATTCGATTTATGTTAAAAAAAAGGTAGAGGTAGACCTAAAAAACTGGGCATGTTGGATAAAAGATTGATCTTAACTTATTAAAATTAAATAAAATATGACACACAAGACACAATGGAGAAAAAGGGTTCATGTAGTCAACACCACAGTGGGAATGGCTTGTTGTTGTTGTTTTGAACAAAATTACAGACAGAAGTCATATATTTTATAATATATTTCCATGGATACAAGCAAGAGAGAGCATACAAAAATATTGAAATATTATTTGTGCGCACTAGCCTATAAATTGGTGTTACTAAAAGCGTGCTTTAGAAGCCACGGAACAAAGGGATGCAAAGATTTAACTCTACAAGGACTTACATGCAAAGCATGAACTGCCAGGAAAGCACAAGCACAAGACATAGTTTGTCACCATGAGATAGCATTGCACGCTCAATTTCAACTTGGAACAAAATTGTACTTCATTGTAGCATTTGCCGCAATAAGTAAGCCAAAAATGATTGCTTTTCCTCATTGATTTTCTTGTAGCACTAAGTTGCCAATTGTTGCTTTTTTTCCTCCTACTAGAGTTTGTTACTTCATGGTTGTTCTCCACTGCACATCCTCTTGCCTGTTATTTTCTCATGTACTTCAACACTAGCAGTAGCAGCTCCTCAAAACTGCTTCTCGGTGTATCATTTGTACACTTCTCAATGTTTTATCTTCACTCTCTTTCTTCATTTTACATGTACCTCTTAGTATCTTACAAATCTCGTAATCTCGGAAGTATTCATAATCTTTTCGCACACTTGCATTACTTCCTTCCTTAATCTTCGACATTTTTAGCTTTTAAATCATTGGAAATTGTAATTGCTAAATGTATCATTATCTTTGCTAAAAATTATTATAAAATTTAGTTCAATTTTGATTAATTAAATGGCAATTATATGTGAATAACACATTTAAATAAGGCATAAAATTCATGAGCATTGTAATTATGTTTGCTTTGTGTTTTGTGTATTGAGATAGAAAAGAATCATTGTGTGCCACACTATTATATTTTCTTTGAAAACATAAATTAAAAAATTTCTTACAACAGCCAAAAATTTCTAAAATGGAGGAATGCTTCAAGCCTTTTGTGTGATAGAAAAGTACCTCTTAAACTGAAAGGAAAATTTTATAAGACAGTGGTGAGACCTGCAATGCTTTATGGCGTTGAATGTTGGCCTTTAAAAGAGAAGCATAATACTATGTTAAGTGTTGTCGAGATGAGGATGATTAGGTGAATGAGTGGTTTTACACTTAGAGACAAAATGCGAAATGAATATATCTGTGATAGGGTTGGTGTAGCTCCTGTGATGGACAATATTAGAGAAAGTCATCTTAGATGGTTTGGTCACATTAAGCGTCGACCATCTGATGATCCGATTAGGAGAGCAGATGTTCTTGATTTGACTTGTGTTAAGAAATGCAGAGGTAGACCTAGGAAGGCTTGGGTTATTGTATAAAAATGATCTTAATTTATTAGAACTAAATGAAAATATGACACTAAATATGATGCAATGGAAAAAAAGGATTCATATAGCCGACCCTACGTAGTGGGATTAAAGCTTTGTTATAGATGCCATAAAAGTATTAAATCAAATTTGTTGTGACATTCATGAACAATTGAGACTACTAAATTGATTTCTATAGGTAGATCATTGGAGATGAGATCATTTTACTGATTTGTATGGAAAATCTACAAAACTATTTTTTCAATAAGACCTCCTAGTTGGATAAAAGCATCAGGCTAACGAATTATAAGGTAATAAAATATACAGTGCACCAAAAAAGCAATTTATGATGATTTCATGCAGAAGTAAGAATCAAGCATAATAAGGGTTTTGCATATATTGATTTATCATATAAAACAGTTCTTATAAAATTGAGAAAAAAGGGTAATGGATAATTTACTGAGCAAAGACTGCAAGAAGATCCCCTTCCGTGAGATCATATGAGACACCGCCGATAAATATGTAGGCAGAGTCCTTGAACTTGGCATTCCAGGACGCTTCCTCTGATATACCAAGCGTTGCCTCAGTGGAATTAATCTTCTGGATGCGCTTAACCAAAGTCAGAGGATTCATCTTTTGCAACCCAGTTTGTCAACTTGACTTGGGTTATAATGCCCCTCTTTTTAATCACAAGCTACACATACATATTTTATCAATAGTTGACAAGTTTGACGCAGAAAAACAGGAGAGAGAAACCAAAAAAATATCAAACAGCAACAAAATCATTCAAACCGTTAAAACAATACTGAGAGAGAAGATAAACAAACAAAAACTGAAAAATCTTCAGATTTTTTCTATCTGTCCATACTAAAAATCTCAGTTAAAGGGGATCTAAATCGTAACAAACAGACAAAATGATAAATTCATATCTTCCGTAATCTTAAATCCCGGCTCTCCTCCGTTCTCAGTTAAATCCTGGCGAGATTTAACTGAAATCCATAAGGGGCTCTGGTAAGAGGTAACGGATTTAGGGCAGGATTTAACCTGGATTTGACCTTAATCCTGCCAGACGGTCAGTTTGGACAAAATAAAGCCGCGGATTTAAATCCGGATTTTACTGATTTCGACCGTAAGTTCGGGATTTACAAAATCCCGTGAATCGGCGAATTTAGTAAATCCGGTACCGGCGATTCGTGCGAAAAAGAGGATATTGAGTTACCTTCCTCCATCTGCCTCCATGCTTTCGGCAGGGACGGTGCGGAAGGAGAAGAAAGATGGCAGTTTGGGGTCTCTGTAAGCCTCGATCCCGCCGTTGCCTTCCCAGTTAGCTCTAATTGCGACTGTATCGCGAGGGTTCGGTGAGGAAGGCGGTGTTTTGGGCTAAACCGGGAGAAGGGAAGCGATGTAGGCGAGGGTGTTTGGACAAACTTACAAACACATCGTATCCCCACCGGTGTGACACGTGGAAATGCACCCCACACTTAAAAAAATTAAATTTAATTTTTTTTAATGCGCAACCAAGCTTGAGTCCGACTCGAAGCACCTAAAAATTAAATCGCGCGTCTCACCAAAACGTCAGATATTAGAAAGCTAAACGTCGCCCGAGCGTAGAGCACATTTATTCGACAATCGTTTAGGGTTTTGGATTCAGAAAAGCTTAGGGTTTTCTGTTATTGTTCACCGATCGAAGTAAAATCGCGATTTATGCTTACCAAGATGGAATCCGAGCCCATACAGACGAAAACCGAAAAAAAAGCCCTGTGAGAATGGAGACCGAAGAGTCGTTGATAATGGAGAATGAAGAGGATTCGACAATGGAGGTTGATAAACGCAAGAAAAATGAAACGAAATAGCATAAGAAGAAGAAAATTCAAGAGGGTTCATCTAGGTAAATTTTATTTTGCTAGTTCTACTTTCATTAACAAGACTGTTAACAGAGTGTAGAGATTCATCCATATTGTATTGAAGTAATATTTTAGTAGTATTTGAGTAACAAATCACTCGGGTATTAAGGTTAGAGTGACTATTTTTTAGTAATATTTTAGTAGTATTTTAGTAGTATTTTAGCTCTGACTTACTGTTGAGTAACAAATCACAAGTTCACCTAATATTACCATAATAATACTAGAATAACACCGGAATAAAACCTGAATTTTAATAATAATATCAAACTAACATTACTTAACACTACCGAAATATTACCTCAATATTACCTAAATAATATCAAACTAACACTAGTTAACACTACCTAAATATTACCGAAATATTACCCAAGTAATATCTTCAGAAGATTGAATAAAATCTGAATTTCATTTGTACAACTGAAATAATACTATGGTAATACATAAATAATACAATCGAAATAATACTAGAATAATACCATAATAATACCTAAATAATACTATAATAATTATAATTATAATACATGTTTTTTCTTTAATAATAACAACTAACACCAAATAACACAACGGAAATAATACTATAATATCACCTAAATAATTCTTTAAAGAATACTTGAGTTACTTGAGTGATATACTTGAGTGATAACATAATAATGCTTAAATATTACTAGAATAATCCTAAAATAAAATCTGTCTACCTAACTCTCTTTCACTAAACACCTTAACAAAGAGTAAATAACTCTGAAATATAAACGTAAGAATGAATATATGACCCCTAATATTTTTTGCATTATTTTGTTTTATGTAGGTTTGTGAACCCAAGGTCCATGAGCTGTAGATGTCGGTCGTCCGTAGTGAGAGATGTGTTTGATGAAGTCAGACCTGTCATACTCAAGTCATCGGGAATATATATATGTATGTATGTAAGTATGTATGTAGGAAATTAAATAAGACAGGAAAGACCAGAATAGGTTAAGGTGTAGCTAACAAACCTCAAACCATGACTCATTGTGTCCCGAAAGATCTTAGCAGATGATTTCCTAGAACAAAAATATAATAAGTTCAATTGTCCTATAAAATATCCATGAGATCTTAAAATGTTCGGGACACGACCATGAATACCTTTTAAAAACCCTTGAAACTTTTCAAGTTCATTTTGAACTTATTATATTGTTTCATTAATTTTCTCAAAATTGAATTATCATATTATTAAGTGAACCTTGATATTTCAACTATCCCAAGAAATGAAGGAAATTAGATAGTCACTTAACATTTCGTTTGACGGTTATATGAATGAGTACGCTAAAGGGCAAGTACAAAGTCATTTAGGATTTTAATGCCCAGAGTTAAAGTAGGGCCTAAAGTGTTTGAAAGTGTTTATCAATTATTTAAGTCCACCTTTTCTTATCCCAATTAAGACAAATCTTACTTATTAAACCTAGTTCACTATTAAGTGATACACAAAAATAATATATTATTTTAAGTACCCTTTCTATACCTATTTTTAGTGATATTGCACTTTAAAGAAATGTATTTTTGTATTTTTGTTGCAGGTATACCATTTTTAGGAATTTGGAGCAAAAATGGCAAAAGGAGCAAAATTTAGAGCAAAAAACAACCAATTTTGGGGTTGGGCGCATGATGCGCCAAAATCCAGAGCGCTAACACATGATGTGCCAAATGCGACTTTTTCAAATTAAGGCATTTTTTAGACAAATTTGCGCAAATTTTCAAAGGGACATTTATTCTAAACACCTCATGGAGTGATTCAATGCATTCAGACACTTTGGAAGGTTCTAATATGAAGCGATTTGACTCTTGGATCAAATAGACATATCTTTTGAATTCAAAGGTTTAACTTTTAAATTTTAGAGGGAAATTGATACTCCTTCAGAGGAGACAGCCAAAAATAAAAGAGAGTTTGAGAAGAACTTCAAGGGGGCGAAAAAAAAGGCAAAAAAGAGAGGTGGCATGAGAACCAATAGGGAGTGATAGAGAGAGAAATTCAAGGGTTTGGAGATTATCTTCTAGGGTAGTAAGAGGAGAGGGAAGGTGAAAGATTTCTTCTTCATTACACTTCTAAGAGAGAATTGAGGTGCTTGTAAATAGAGAAAGGCTTGGAGAGAACTTCTAGGGATTTTCTTAGGAAGGATTGTGAGATAAGTTGTAATTTTCATTTCTTTTGTTTGTAAACTTGTTTTTTATATATAAATTCCATGTTTTATCATATCATTCTCATGAATTCTGAGTAGTCTTCTTTATCCTTCTCCCTACTTTGAAGAAATGTTTTTGTGAAGAATTGATTTTATTTTCTACGATTTTAAATATCAATAATTTGTGATGATTTGAACTCTGATCTTCATTTACTTTTTAATTTGGCTAATTGAATTGTTAAAATGTGTTGAGAAACATATGTTCTAAAAAGAGGATAAGATTTCTACAACAAAAGGAGAATCACATTTGATTTCATGTGAGAATATGTTATCCATAGGATTGGGTGCAAATAAATAAGGAAATATACTTCGTTGGATGTAAAATTGAAATATTTTAAGGTGACAGATTAGAGTCCCCAATTTGGTTATGTTAGTTAAAAACTAATCAGAGCATGTTAGTTCTCAGGTGAGGGAGTAGCGGAAGCTCTAGAGTGATAATCGGTATCTGTTGGTGCCTGAAAAATCTCTCCAACTAACTACCCAATTTTAGAACTTTCAAAACTTTCCCAATACTTTCAAGACCCCACCTACTTATCCTTTTTATTTTAGTTTTATTTTGAGAGTGTTGTAAAAGAGAAAAGATTCAAAGGAACTTCAAGAGTTTGGTAGAGGACTTGAGATAAGTTTTTATCATTTGTTTTAAACTACTTTTGGTTTTAATTGAGACTTGTTGTGGATTTGACAATGATTTCTACTTTTAAACTAAAGTGTGGTTTTGTTTTCTCCATGGATTCTGAGTAGTTTTCTTTGTCTTTCTTCTTAAAACGATAAGTAATACATATAAGAATTCTGTTCTGGAAGTATGCATATTGTGTTGTGCCAAATATAAGCAATAATATTCTTTACCCTTACTAGAGATGCTATAAAGAACATTAACTAATTTAAAGTTTGAATAGTTCTGAAGACCGGATAGACAGCGAAGATACAAGCTCTCAATTAAGAGTTCCCTCGATTGCCTCCACCTCAGGGCTAACATCTAGTATCAGAACCTAAAACAATAAACCAAGTTGGGGGCTTTAACCTGTCACTTTAAAGTCCTCTAACTCTACACCCTTCAATGAATATTTCCCTATTTATTTGCACTCAATCATATGAACTACATTCTCATTCATACAACCTCATGTGATTCTTTCTAATTGTTGACTGAGACAATACCAGCCCGACTCTTACATGTTCTCACAACAAATTTTAACATCTGGATTGGCCAAATCAAGAAGTAAATGAAGTACATGGATTTAAATCATCACAACTTCTTCCAATATTAAAGATCAATACTCTCCACAACTTCCATCCAACACTTAATTACTTATCATTTTAAGAAGAAAGATAAAGAAAGCTACTTTGAATCCATGGAGAAAACAAAACTACACTTTAGTTTAAAAGTATAAATAATTATTAAACCAACAACAAGTCTCAATTAAAATCAAAAGTAGTCTAAAACAAAAGATAAAAACTTATCTCAAGTCTTCCACCAAACTTTTGAAGTTCCTTTAAATCTCTTTTCTTTTACAGCACTCTCAATATAAAACTAAAATAAAAGGGATAAATATGTGATGTCTGAAAATCACTCCAACTAACTACCCAATTTTAGAACTTTCAAAGCTTTCCCAGTACTTTCAGGACCCCCTTCAAAGTCTCAATCTTCCTTCTTTTATAATTCTCCAAAAGGTGCCTTGGTATCTTTTCAAAATGTGCTTGATTCTATGTATTTCCCCAAGAGATGCATCCTTTCATAATAATTTTCGTCCATGGTGGTTGTAACCACCTATTAAGCCAATAAGTGCCTCAAAAACTTCTTTAAAATTTGCAAAAATTGAATTTACTCATCCAATAACTGCCACTGGCGCTTAAGCATGGGGCCTTTGGCGCTTAGGCGCGACATTCTCTATTTAAATGACACTTAAGTGCCGGATTTAGCGCTTGGGCGCCAAAACACTTTTGCACATTTTTCACCTATTTGCTCCAAATTTGATCCTTTTTCACTACTTTAAGCATTTTTCACTTTTTTACCTGTACCTGAAAGAAAAACACAAAAATACCTTCCATTACAGCGCAATATCTCAATAATAGGTATAAAAATGTGTCTAAAAATACTATATATTTTAGGCGTATCAAAATCTCCCAAACTTAAAATGTTATTTGTCCTCAAGTGACACTTCAATCTTTAAAAGCTAAATATGTATGATATGTATATGAGTTTCTTTAGGAGTTACTAAAATTTAGATTTAGAAATATAGTAGTCCAATTTAGAAAAAATATTCAATAAATGAGACCAACTAAAAGTTTATAAATTTTTATTGTTAAGAA